CAGAAGGAGGTGTCACCTGCTCACAGATTCATTTAACAAACGCCTCCTTATCTGCCCTCAGAGCCCTCACAGCCGTCCTTCTCAGTTCTCGGTACAGACTGGAGTTGCCACCAAGTCATGTGCTGTGACTCATCTTGATAATATCCAGGGTGCCCTGTGAGATGAAACACCTCCTTCTGGGAACACTGGCAGCACCAACACAACCCCTGACAACCTTCAGGGTCTAATCTCAAGAAGGGGATTCATCAGAGAAAATGACTTTACCCCAGTCCTCAGCAGTCCAATCCCTGTACCTTTTGCAGAACATCAGTCTGTCCCTGATGTTTTTCTTGGAGAGAAGTGGCTTCTTTGCTGCCCCTATTGACACCAGGCCATCCTCCCAAAGTGTGCGCCACACTGTGCGTGGAGATGCACTCACACCTGCCTGCTGCCATTCCTGAGCAAGTTCTGCACTAGTGGTGCCGTGATCCTGCAGCTGAATGAACTTTAGGAGGCAGTCCTGGTGCTTGCTGGACTTTCTTGGGCGTCCTGAAGCCTTCTTCACAACAATAGAACCTCTCTCCTTGAAGTTCTTGATGATCCGATAAATGCTTGATTTAGGTGCAATCTTACTAGCAGCAATATCCTTGCCTGTGAAGCCCTTTTGTGCAAAGCAATGATGACTGTACATGTTTCCTTGCAGGTAACCATGGTTAACAGAGGAAGAACAATGATTTCAAGCACCACCGTCCTTTTAAAGCATCCAGTCTGCTATTCTGACTCAATCAGCATGACAGAGTGACCTCCAACACTCTCACTTGTGTTAACGGGAGAATCACTGAAATGATGTCAGTAGGTTCTTTTGTGGCAGGGCTGAAATGCAGTGGAAATGTTTTTTTTTTGTTGTAATTAAATTCATTTTCATGGCAAAGAGGGACTTTGCAATTGCAATTCATCTGATCACTCCTCATAACATTCTGGAGTATATGCATAAAAACTGAGGCAGCAGACTTTGTGAAAATTCACATATGTGTCCCAGCTGTATTATTTGGGGTGGGAGCAAAGTAAATAAATAAAAACAAAATACTTTCAAAATCCCCTCAACCCAGTAGTACAAGGGTACACTAGGTATGGTGATGTACTCTACATTCCTGACTAAGATTACTCAACTAGTGTTTTGTCAACTATAGGCAACCTAGATACCACATTTTCTTACACAATGGAAGACCTAGAGGGTACATCATCTACTTTTCTCACAGATAAAGAAAACTGTATCTCAAAGTGGGACACCATATCCCATTTTGTTCACTGGAAGGGCAACTGTCAGCGATATTTTTTTGTCCATTACAAGGGCACTTCATCATGCTTTCTCCCTTGGAAAGTGACTTCAGAGGGAAACACATCTTGTCCACTAGAAGGGGACTCTTAGGGTCTGTTTAGACCAGGGCTTCTCAAACTTTTTGATCAAATGTTCACATCAGAGGTCCAAATCAATTTTCAGTGACAAAACAGCATTTCATGAACTTTAATGAATTAACAATGACCTTCGACATAGACATCAATATAGAACAAACATGGGAACTGCTGATCATTTCAACTCCCCGTCATGGGGGGAGGGGTTAAGATGAGTTAAACGTGTGAAACATTTTGTATTTTTGCACTTAAAAGCATGTGAAGCCCTTTCACGTTAACCTTATTGATTCAAAAGGTGCATTATTGGCTGGGTCTGGATTAACTTGCTGTTCAGTCTGCATCCATTCCGCAGACCTGACTTTGAGAAGCCCTGGTTTAGACCATTGTAAGGACACATTATGAGGTGCTGCATCACATTTTCTTGCTGTGTATATATATATATATATATAGGTGATATCATCTCACTCGAAGGGGGCACCCCAGACAGCACTAAATCATGTGAAGGGCAGCCTATAGTGACATTTTTGCCACTCTGAAATGTTTTTTTGGTTATGGGGACATTGCCCTCTTGCTCCCTCCCCCCCGAGCCCACCAATGTTTTAAGTATAGTAGATGGATATATATATATAATCATCTTTTCTTTGGTATACAGAGAAATCTGATCAATCATTACCAGACTGATGAGTTTCCCTCAGCTGAGTATTAAGATATGACTTTGGATGGCTCGAACCGGAAATAAGTATATAAATAAATTAAAGCTTAACTTTGACTCAACCTGCAAAGAAAAATTACGTAGAAGGGTAGTTACCACAGACTCAGTCAGGTGGCTCCACGTGGTTTGAAATACGGGCAATAGGAAACATGCACTGCAGCTAATGTTACTATCTGCTGTACCTTATAGGACATGTTCAGAATGCATGTGACGTCAGTCTCAGCAAATTCTTCCCCTGTCTTGTCTGTGGTCAGTCTATTTTAGGTGCTAAATGTTTTTCTTTTAATTTTCATCCACGCCACCCCCACCACCTGCAGACACACAACCCCTCTAAAAGGTCGTGGTTCAACTCTGCTGGCCTCAGTTTAGCTGCAGAAGTGACGCTGATCTTCAGAAACGTCCAGTGGAATCATGAAGCCCCATCAGATCTCTGCCTTCTTCCTCCTGGTGACAGTGCTGCTGTCCTCCACTCTGGCTCAAAGTAAGTCTGCAGCATCTCACAGCTTTTCTCAGGATTTAGTCAGTACTTCTGTGCATTTTCAAGTGTCTTTCATATGAAATACGAGGTTTCAAACTCAACTATGAGATGTAAACAGTGGTGTAGGAAGGAGTGTAACACTGGGGGAGCAAAATTTAATTTTAATTTTAATGATTCATAAAGATTATGGACCAAGTTGTGAGATATGAATACAGTTCTGACTAGTTTCTCTGTGTACATTTTTCATGTATATATTGAGAGTGGCTACATTTATTTTGTATGTAGACTGTATTTACATTTTCTGTTCTTCATGTTTGTCCAGATGCAAAAGGACCAATTCACTGTTGCTTTAAATACTTTCCTGGAAGACTGAGGATGGCTGTGATAGATAGATATGAAGAGACCAGTGCAGAATGCAGTAAACCTGGAATTATGTAATTATTTCTCTTTTGATATGTTGATTTGAACTATTACTGCATTGTAATTTAAAGTTTGTTGCATAGAAAATGTCGATAACAGAACTGATTTTTAGTACCGGATAAGATGTATATGGAGAAAGATTCTAACAAGTGACAGACAGATCCATATCATTCTATTTTTAATTTTCAGATTTCACACCAAAAAGGGCATTGAAGTGTGTGTCGAACCCAGTGTTCCTTGGGTTCAGGGGGTGAAGAAAAGGCTGGACCAGCACTTCTTTCAGTAAAACCTGCTGCCTGCTTGGAAAAGCATGAAGATCAATTTTTTAAATCACATTTCAGCCTTTATTTTCTTGTAAGATTACTTTCTGTCATCTCCTAAATCATACTTTTGCTGCAGCATTATTGTTGTTATTGTTGTTATAGTGTTTTTATTTTTTTAAACAATAATTTAAATTCTCCTGTAACATAATCTCCTGCCATCTTCCATATCATATACACTTTAACTGCATTTTATACTTTAATATCTAAAGTTTTATTTAGCCAGTAGTTAAATTTGAATTGCACATATATTGTTTGAATTGTAAATATACTGTTTTACATGCATGTTACTAAATAAAGACTATTGAGAGGTTATGGTGGCTGACTCAGGTTTTTCATTTAAATTATTTAATTTACAAAACAACATACCTCTGGTTGCTAAGCATCTGATAAACTAAATAAGAGATCCATACAATGTAAGAATGAGTAATATAAATGTATGAATTTTCTATGTATGTAAGCAAAGAAAACAGACATTGAGG